GCTACACATCCTGATGCATATACGCTCCTTAGTCATCGGTCCTGAGGCTCAAGCTCATACCGAGGCACCATAACAGTACATATATAAAATCCATCCAAAATCCCTGGTATTGCCGCTCAACAAGTAGTTGCCATGACAATACAAATCCACGTGACTTAACTTTTAGTTAATCCTATCCTTATTCCAAGTAGGTGGGTAATGGTATTGTTTTAAAAACCAAACCCATCCTTAGTATGCCACCGTCCCATACCGGTGCCTACTTTCCAATCCTCCAGTAGTCAATAATACCAATAAATCAAGTATATATCAACTAAATTCCAACATCCAACATTCAATGTTAGCAGTGATAAAATAAGCATTGATAAACAGGGTCACAACAACAACATATACATGCCCAATTTAAGTTGTTCCCTTTAGTCTGATATAAAGACAGAATTAATTAAAACTTCCATTTAACACCTTACAAATGACATACAGATATGTAGGGTATGTATCACAAAATCCTAACCTCCACAGTTGATACTAACTGTGATAATGTAAGCATCAAAATAATATTCACAGTATGTATGTAGACATGCTCAAATTATAGTGTTCCACAAAACCGATCTAGTGTTAAACTCAAATCCTCCTAGTATTTAAGTTCCAACAGTTGCTATTACAGAAGTTAAGATAGCTATCATCTAGACCCATCCTTCCAATAATTTATACTAGCAATGGTAAGGAAAAACGTGAACCACAGAACCACAATGCATCCACAAACATGCTTAGTCTAGGTTGAACAAGCATACAACACTACTGTAACTACCAGTTTCATAGCAAAACAGATATCATTTTAGTTTGGTTTAATCTTCATTAATCCTGAAATCATTTAAGAGTGCAAAGAGTATGAAGCCTAAGGGAAAGAGTAAGGATAGAATCTTGCCTCAGAAACTTTTGTTCAAAGTTTTAACGTCGTCTTCTTAAAAAATCCCGGCGAGTTCCAAAACCCGGTTACTGTTCACGGGTACAAAACACTATTCCTGAACTCAAAATCTGATCTCCACCATTCAGATTGTGCAACACTGAGTCATGAACCTATCCTCCAAATTTCAGCTCGATCGGACCACGGACGAAGCGGGATCGGATGTTTGATGAAATCTGGGCAGAATGGAAAAAAACCTTTGCGACCCAGTTACTGTTCATGAGTACGAATCATTGTTCCCGAGGTCAAACTCTGATCTCCACCGTTTAGATTGTGTGATACTGAGTTGTGAACCTCTCTTCCAAAATTCAGCGCGATCGGACCACTGACGAAGCGGGATCGGATGTTTTATGAAATCTGGACAGAATGGAAAAAAACCTGTGCGACCCAGTTACTGTTCACGAGTACGAATCACTGTTCCCGAGGTCAAACTCTGATCTCCACCGTTCAGATTGTGCATCACGGAGTCTTAAACCTCTCCTCCAAAATTCAGCCTGATCGGACCACGGACGAAGTAGGATCGGATGTTTGATGAAATCTGGGCAGAATGGAAAAAAACCTGTGCGACCTAGTTACTGTTCACGAGTACGAATCACTGTTCCCGAGGTCATAACTCTGATCTCCACCGTTCAGATTGTGCATCACTGAGTCGTGAATGTCTCCTCCAAAATTCAGCTCGATCGGACCACGGACGAAGCGGGATCGGATGTTTGATGAAATCTGGGCATAATGGAAAAAAACCCGTGCAACCCAGTTACTGTTCACGAGTACGAATCACTGTTCCCGAGGTCAAACTCTGATCTCCACCGTTCAGATTGTGTGTCACTGAGTCCTGAACCACTCCTCCAAAATTCAGCTCGATTGGACCACGGACGAACGGATGTGAAAAACTGCGTTTTTCCTTCTCCACTTTCACAAAACGTGTGCTTTGTTTAAAAAAACCTACACAGACGTCTACCTTATACTTATAGAGTTTTCCTAAACCCTAGGTTCATTTAAGTCCAACTCACAATCCTAACCGGCCCATCCAATTAACGTAGAAACCTACGACGGCTATAATATAAAACTCTAATTTATACTGTAATTAAAATCCTAGTTAGATGTATTTACCTAATTACCCTATTCACCATTAAATACTTAACAAATAATCTAATTGAACAAAATAATAATTAGTAAACCTAATTAAACCAAATAAGACACACATAAAATAAGACACACATAGAATAATTAAACTAATTACACTTAAACCATTAATGCCAATTAAATAATTAAAATACTAACAAGTAATTCCAATCAAATAACTAAACCAATTACACTTAAACCATTAATGCCACTTAAATAATTAAAACACTAACAAGTAATTCCAATCAAATAACTAAAAATAAATATCATTTAAATAAATTAAATCACCACAAAAGAAATAAATTAAATCACCACAAAAGAAAACAATTAAACACCTAATAAAAAAAATAATGACACATAATCAAATAAAATGCACTTAAATAATAAATTAAATACCATTAAATACCAGGAATATCATTTTTAAAATTAGGGGTATTACATGTAGAACACTATAATAAACCAAGATTATTTCTAACATAAAACACAACTTCTACTAGTGACGTACATGTTAACATAAATGCACCCCGTTTCCAACTTGGTTTGAATCGGCCTAACCCACAACTTTAGAAAAACTCACTAGCTGACTTTATCGAGGCGAAATTGATGACTATCACCGGTTCTAATTTTGGCAATGCCTGGCAACCGTTAAATGGTATAGTATCAACTTTTTCGCGCCCAAGGCCGGGTCGCGCTCCCTTTAGGTCAAGCTAGCCCCGGACTCGCGAAATCCGGTTCATTTTAAAGAAAACTTCTCTTCCATTATCAAAACTTCATTTCTAACATAATTTATTTATTTATTTTTATTTTTATTTTTTCAATTCCTCTCCAAAGCCCTTCCTTATGCCATGATATGCCATGTATGAAACTTCAATCTCAAGTCATGAATCCGTCATTATAACAAGAACAACATCACAATTGCATATCATAATAATCAAAGAAATTTCATGGCATGATTTAGAAATCTCATAGTACAAGAGTATTATCAACCAAGGTAAAACATGTGCAATTCATCTATAAGCATACTTATCACATAATCACTTACACAATAACAATTTATCATATAAAAAACAAGAATGTTCCTTAATTTCATACCAAGGTTCAATAATTCTAAGGACATAGTAAAGAAAGGAGAAAATTACTCAATTAGAATCAAAACTTAGGCATTAGGAAGACCCCTACCTCAATTAGAGTGCAATTCCTCAAAAGCCCCAAATTCACTTCAAACCCTAGAATTTGGAAATCCCAAAATGATAGCCAAACCGAGATTGGCTCCGATCAAACCGTAGATCTCTTCGTGCTTTTCAATTTGCCGCAAATGGCACCAAAAATCTCTTAAAAATGAAAGAGAAATCAAGATTGAAAACCTTAAGGAAAAAGGAAAAAGAAAAAGAATGAGAGGGAGAGAGAGTGGCGTGGAGAGAGAAGAAGAATTGAGGCTTAGAGGCCAAAATTTGGCCTCTAAGCCTTTTTCTGAAAAAAAATGTGGGTCCCACCTTTTTAATAAAATTTTCTTTTCTTTTTTCTCTTTAATTCTAACCACAATTACACACACATATATATACAATAAATCACAACCACATTTTACACATTAAAGAAAATGTATATGATGCAAATGAACCCAACTATAAGCCCTGCACACGACAATTCCGATAGCGGGTTCCACAAGGGACCGTTCGGCCCGAAAAATGAAAAAATTCTAGAAAAATGAAAAATAACGAAATTCAAAAATATTACACGACACATGTGGATACAATTCAAATACTTATCGGACACGATTAAAAGTATCCTGAAATTTAAGTGGTTCTTTTTTTTTTTTTTTTTTTTTTTTTTTTTTTTTTTTGACACGGTTGAAACACATAATGATACTAAAATGACTCATATTGAACACTTTTAATGAGTGATTTTAAAATTATTTTTTTAAAAAAGAAAATGGGGTTAATTGTTCAAAATACATGATGAATTAATTAGAAAAATAATATAAAATTTTAAAAATAATACTAATAAACATCTAACCATAAACTCTAAATTAATGATTTTATTCGTGATTGCATGGATAAAATAAAATATTATTTTATATGTAATAATATATAATTACTATCTCTATCTTATATATTTTACAATTTAAAGAGTAATGTTACTCTTTAAATTTTTTAAAATTTTCCAACTTGATAAGAACAAATTAGTATTTTTTTTTTAAAAAAATACATTAATTACAAGTTCCCTATTCAGTGTCCCTATCTTGTCCCACATTCATATTCAAGAAATTTGCTCAAGTAATTTCTATCGGTACGCTACCAATATATACATATTTAATATATTAAAAAGCGCAATCATTTTTTTTTGTTTTTTTTTCCTTCCTAAAAGCAAACTCATTTGGATCAGAGAGTAGATGCAATATATATTGCATTGCCTTTGCAGTACTAGTAAATCTCAAGATTTGATTTTACGTCAGACTAAAATTCTTTAATGTAATTTCCCTATTTTTTTTATAATTATTATTTTTAGGGAGAGTAACATTTGTCTTAAATTTGAATGTCAGATACTCTAAAAAAAGACTGTCATGAGTAATGCAAAGGTACACAGACCATTTAAATCTACACCAACATGCATTTACCCCCTTTTAATTTCTCTTCACTAACCAAGACCAACTCTAAAAAAAGACTGTCATGAGTAATGCAAAGGTACACAGACCATTTAAATCTACACCAACTTGCATTTACCCCCTTTTAATTTCTCTTCACTAACCAAGACCAACTATTACTTATTTATTTCTTAAACTACCCCTCCTTAGTTCAAAAAAAATAAAACCCCAAAATGGTTCAAAACTCCCAAAAACTCTTATTACCGTATTTTTTTTTTATTTTTTTATTCATTATTCTAACCCTAGCTCCCAAACAACTCATTACTCTTATATATCTCATTAGTCAGTACAGCCGCCCCTCTTGCCTCGTCTCTCCACCCTCTTCTCTCTTCACACCCTCTTCTCTAGACTCTAGTTATCCTCGTCTCTGTGACAGTCTTCACTCTTCACCTCTGTTTTTGTTCACTCTTCGCCTCTCAATCCATCACCTCTCAATCCATTGTTGACCAGATTCGAAGCAACGGCGACCTCTTCGTGTGTATCTACCTCTTTTCCGGTGAGTTCACAATTTTTTTGCATGGATCTTCTTATTCTCCTCTTCTCTGAATATTTTTTGTTTAAATAAATCAATATTTTCTGTTAATCACCATAACACAGTGATGGATCTTCTTATTCTGGAAGACGACGCCGCCGACGGCCATCCCGTGGCTGAACTGTAACTGTGTGGCTTCGGGCTCCACTGTGTACGCCATCACGGAGGGTTCTCGTATCTGTTCGGTGAACGCCGCCGATCTCTTAGGTTGCTGGAGTGCGATTCAGGCCAGTGCTAGTAAACCTTCAGTTTATTTTCCTTCAAGATAGGGAATCCATTGCCCTAACCCTTCCCAAGATGTAAAGTTAAAGTTTTTCATTGGAAAATAGACCCAAATGAAACTCTATCTCGGATTGAGGAGGTGTTTTGCTTTTTCTGAAATTTTGATTCTTTGTGTTTTTTTTCATTTAAGGTTTCCTTACTGCCATGGACTATTCTTTTTCCCTGTAAATATCATTGATTTTGTATTCATATTTTTTTTTTTAAAAAATGAACAAGATTGACAAAGCCCAATCCGCAGAAACCGAACCGATCTGATGCGTTACTTCACGGATCGGTTTGGTTCGGATTGAAGGCTCCCACGGATCGGTTCGGTTTCAATTTTTGCCAGTCCGTGGGGACCGGTTCGGCTTGATCTTTATCCCCAAACCCAACCGATCCGAACCGTGCCTTCTTCTCCATATATATAATAATATACCTCTCACTTTCCAAAAAAAAAAAAATATACCTCTCGTCTCTGTGTTGCTTAATTTTCTCCTTCCTCTCTGTTTTTGTTGTTTATCTCTGTTGCAGGTATCAGTCCTCTCTCTAGTCTCTACCCTGCCCAAGGATAATGCCTCCTCAGTCATCTGGTAAGTAACATGACCACTTATACTACTACTTTGTTTGGGTTTTTAGAGTTATTTTATCTGCGGATTTTATATGCCCAAAAAATTAACACAAGTTATTGAGTTCAAAGTATTACTTGTTGAGCTTCCAAAATGTATAGAACTTCATTAACAAATTTAAGTTTTCTCATCTTTAATCCTGTGATTATAGGTATACTTGTTGGGGAGAAAGCTCGACGTGAAGTGAGTGATATCGGAAAAATATTGGTATATTCCTTAACATATTGTTAGTGGAATTTTTATTACCGGAGAATATTGATATAGTCCTTCAGTTACCTGGCAATTCAGTTGTCATGTCATCACTCACGTTAGCATATAAATATATTATTACTATGCATAGGTGTGTGTATTTTGTTCATAACATGCCTCTTTTGTTATCAGATTCTTTTTGAATTCTATGTATGTGATCACAAAATGTGGGATCTTGGTGTTCTGGGTTGCTGCTAACTTCTAATGCACTATAAAACTCATAAGGTTGGTTTCACCTTAAATGACAACTTAAACTTATTCTCCGGAGACCTGATGTTTTCCACATTACTTGAGAGTAACTAGACTCCATTGGAATTTGAATTTAGTAATTGTGGCAATTTGACTTATAAAAGTTAAATAATAATTGGTATTTAGTGGACATGTTTCTGAAATGCCATGTTATATGCCATGTGATGATTCTGTTTGATCTTCTAGTTTTCCTCTGATCTACATATTTATTACGTAGACAGCTGTGCTAACAGCTACAGCCCAACATGTTCTATTTAAAAGTCCTATTTCTGCTCCTGTTAAATTTGGTTTGCAGTATTATTTGTTTTTGTAGTATAATGAATTTTTTTTTGTTCTTTTATCTCTTGTTGATTTAGAGCAAGGATGTACTTGAAGCCTTCTATAAGAAGGTTCCTGAAAAAAGGATACTATTTGGAAGAAGTGAAGGAATGTTAAAGATGTGTTTTTTGTTGTTCTGTATCTTTTGTGTGAGATTCTGATTGAATTCTAAGTATGTGATCACAAAATGTGGAATCTTGGTGTTCTGGGTTTCTGCTAATGCACTATAAAACTCATAAGGTTTGTTTCACCTTCGATTACAACTTATTCTCCAGATAACTGACTGCCTTCAATACCCCATACACATTAGATAGGAATTAAATACAGTGTATGATTGAGAAGAACAAAAGTAGAACTCTGTAAAAGTCAGTCTGAAGAGGTCTCCTTGAGAGTCAGTGGAATAGAATAGAATAGATCAGTAAGCTTCACTCCTGATGAAAAATAAGTGTAGCAGAGAAAAATGATTTCTGTTGTTCAACATATCCTTTTTTATCAGCAATCCACTTTGGTCATTTTGATGAATTTCTGTCACGTCTTTGTTAAGTAATCTAGTTCTTAAAAAGTAATCTAGTTCTTAAATTATTTCATACACGCTCTGCCTTTTTGTGTATTGTGTTTTACTGATTTTAATTTTTTTGAGATGCTCAAGATGGGGAACTTGTCAGCAAGGCATATCCATGCATGCCAAATATGGAGAGTATCTGGTGATCCAGAACCAAATTACCCACCCCGCCCTAATATCAAAAATTACTCTGGCAACCCTTGTTGCAATTGCCTAGAGCACCACACTGATTTTCCTTGTGAATACTGCGGAAATGAGTTCAGTACAATTGAAGACAGAAAACTCAATTACGAAATGTGAGCTCACAAGTACTTCAGAATATGAACAACTATTGTTATTGTTATTGTTATTTTTATTTATGTGTTTTTTATTATTTATTTGCAGGATGTGGGATGCTTGGAACGAGTGGAAGGACGAACATGGATACTGAATATATATATATATATATATATATATGGTAAATTGTGGTCTAGTCTTTTGGATATGATTATGTTGATATAGGAAGAATAGTGGAAGTGGTATGCCCTAATCACAATAGCTGGTCTAGTCTTTTGGATATGATTCTACCTTGTTGATATTGGAAGCTTTTGCTCCATAGCATCTCACTATTTGTCACTTAATTTTGCGTATGCCCCTTGACAATTGTTATCTTTGGCTATTATGGAAACCTTACTTGCCAAAAAGAAATCCTTTTTAACAGGATTATATTTTAACAGCAGACCATAAAAACTCAATCCAAGTAGACCAAAGAAAAGATATCCATGCAAGTTTTTGGAGTAAATTACAATTCTGTAAACTATTTCAACCCAATTCACTCTCAAAGTAGTCACCGATAAAAAGAGAGACGAAGTTATATCATTGAAGTGATCATAGGAGTGTCAGTCGTCATTGCAATAAGTTGCGAGAGAGAATAAATATTTGTTGTTACTCTGTAAATGGTAAGTAAAACTAAATTTTGAATCTGGGAGCAATAACAAAAAACAAGTGATAAGTCATTGTTGATTCAGAGTAAGCAAGTACTTCATATACTACTACATGTCATGTCGGGCACGTGATATATGTGCTCTACTTTAGATGTGATCATAACTCCAAATCCAAATCCAAATCATATCAAATGACCCACACAGTGTTCATTGGTGCGATTTGTTGTTTGAATTTTCTATTCTCTGTTCTTGCCAACACGATGTTCTACGAGTTTCTATTTATTCACAACTCTGCATTATTGTTATTGTTGAAACCCTACCACTTTCATGCAAATATTTGTAAGTTTGTATCCTCAAATGATTGAGGAAGTGTATGCCCAAATTGCACCCTGATTCAAGTATTCCAACCAGTATGGATTATTTGCAAACTCCCAAAAGGATAGAGCCAACCAGCAACCAAAGACCTCATGTTTCTTCTCATGTTATGTCATAATCTATGTTACATAACAGCGGAGCGGGAGCGCGAAACAACAAAATTTAAGTTACAAAGAGTAAGAATCAAAGTGAAAGAGCGTGGGCGAAGCATGAGAGCAGGAGCACCATAGAGCGTGGGAGAGAAAAATTATGTGATTTACTGACTCATAATACACACACCTTCATCACAGATTTTAATAATTTATCATTTTTGTTCAAAATTGTCACTTAGCACAACATACATTAGTTAGCCTGAAATTCTCTCTTTTTTGTGTTCCATTCTAGCTTTAGTTGATCCTTTGTAATTGTAAGAGGTATTGATGGAGGGTGGTGTCTCACTTTGGATCCAAATAAGAAATAAAATGAGCATATATGAGTAGGTATGCATCACCATTCAATATTTTAAACTTTTGAATTAGAAAAAAGTGTCTGTTCGTTGCATGAATTATCAAATTTATTTATTTATTTATTTTATTTTATAATTTAATCCATATCCAATAATCATCATCAAATCCTTACTTTTCTCTCATATGAAATGAATTGGGCTGCATAGTCTTCAATTTCACCTCCCATGAAAAGATCACATTTGAGTCGATGCAAATGAGTTGTCCAAAAGCTGTTTGTAACTCTCCACATAATTGCTATTACATGCTTTATTCCCAATTCTTTTGAGAATGGATCTGTCCAAGGAAATTTGTCTCCGAGCATGTACAAGTGTTTAATCTTGCGATTGTTAAGGCGCCACATCATATATTTAATTAACTAATGAATATAATATCGTTTTACTAAAAATGCACCTTACGGTTCTTTCTCATCCAACTCTGAAATTCAAGGAGCAGTTAATTATCTTGCTAAAATTGATTTTCTTTTACTCAAAACCAGTCAATTCTTCTCTTTGAAAATGCGGTTCTTTCGTCTCTATTGGAAAAGATCAGTGGCCAGTAGATCAGTGGCCAATTGAAATACTGGCCAATTGAAAGTGCAATTTCAGACACATGCCTACCATACTTGTAAGCAATTTCAGAAATTTATTATTTTCAGTTTTAGTCAAATTTACAAAAGCAAGATCCGTGGTTCGTTTCTAGTGGTATGTCCACAAAAATATATGTGCGCAATTTTGTTTTTCATTTTGTTTTAATTTTATGTTGTTTTATTTTCTGTAGTTCTTGAAAATATAGTTCATTATCTCTAACTTCGTTTTTTCTGCAGAACACAATCTTATCTTAGTTCTTCCGTGTGTCTTTTGATTAATTCCGTTCTCTTTATCGAGTATTCTTCTGATTTACTTTCCTATCAATGATTGGAGCATACATGTAAGACATAACATTTCTTGACAACGGAATAAATTATGCAATTTGTTTGTGAATCGCTTATGATATATTTAAAATCATTTTTGAGGAAATCCACGAGAAGTGATGGTGGTATTGTATGCACCAATTTACATTTAGGCAACAGAAGCGGAATTTCCTGATTCTCTGTTTTTTTTTTTTTTTTTTTTTTTTTTTTTTAATTTTTATTTATTTAAATTACCTGTGATATGCGTAGTAATGGCTGAATTCCAATCTGGCCAAGATATGCTTCGAACTTTTGCCGAGGAGAGGGGACATAAAGGAAGTCTCTTTTCTGCGAGGATAAGCTGAAGGTTTTAATTATAAGATAAAGCTTCTAAAGGCTTGGTAGCTCGTAATAAAGATGTTGACGAACAAGTAGCTCGACTCCTTTGCTGACAAGGCTGATAACAATGTTACTCTTTCTCAATCTAAAAAGGACTTGGCCCAAATTCAGAATGAGATATTTAAGTTGCTTGGAGATATCTCTGATCTTCATAAGAAGTATCCTAATTTGTTCAGAAGAGAGTAATTGTGCCAGGATCAAATTGGGCGAGCAACCAAGCTTGGGCTGAGCTATCGGCGAAATGGTCCAGCTTATAGATGTGAAGGTGAATTAAAGATATCTCTGATATTTTTTTTTGCTTTACAGTAGCCGGAGGAAGGGCTTGCTGGGTATAGGCTTTAGGTCTCTGTTAATGTTGGCCTCTTTCTGTACCAAGATATTTTATTGAAATTGGCCCTCCTTGAACTGAAGAGAGATTGACCTTGCTATTTCGGTGTAGGACTGTATCATGGGTTAGAATCCCATTTCGTGCGGCAAGGAAATGGAACGAGCGGTTGGAATTACGTGATAGAAAGAACCACCCCATTGAAGAGCTTAAGAAAACCACTATGGTTTTAACTTGCTACTCCCCTGTTTTGCTGTTTTAAATGTGCACTCTAAATGGAGTTCTCCATGTCTAGATCCACCCAAAATAATTTTATTAATATCATTGTATATCGCAGTTATAGACATGTTTTAATGAAACCCAAGTAATGTATTTAGAGTTTTCGGTTGGTACAATTGCCAAATTTTTGGGTTAAACTTTTAGTTAGAAAACAATTTGGGTTGAAATATATATATATATATATAAACACAAAAAGTTGTGAAATATTAATGGAAAGAAGGAATATTGTCATTGGTTGTATAGAGTGAAAATCGGGGGAAAACCCGATTTATATTCTGGAGGACAGCAGATCTTGGATTCTGTTCTCATACCAGGGGGATATGTAGACTTCAAGTTGAAGAGTGGGGTCCTTGGCGTCTTAAGCAAACTTGACATTGAGAAAGCTTATGATCATGTCAATTGGAAGTTCCTCCTTTACTTGCTTCAAAGGGTGGTTCCGAGATAGGTGGAGGAAATGGATCGAAACATGTATTTCGTCCATTATGTTCTCTGTTCTTGTGAACGGATCTCTTACTGGTTTCTTTACGAGCTCTCGAGGTTTGAGACAAGAAAACACCTTGTCGTATTTTCTATTCTTTATAGTCATAGAGGGTTTGAGCAGACTAATGGAGAGCGAAAAATTTGGGTTATATCAGGGGGTTCTGAGTCGGCAAAGATGCAGCTCATTAGATGGAGATCTCCCATTTGCTGTTTGCGGATGATACCTTGGTTTTTTGTGATGCTGATGTCTCCCAACCTAGAATCTAGATATTTGAGGTGCATTCTTGTTTGTTTCCAGGCAGTTTCCGGGCTAAAGATCAATGTTGGAAAGAGTGTGTTTGTCCCAGTAGGGGATGTTCTAGATATTTCCTCCTTAGATACAGTTCTTGGGTGTGGGGTGGGTGCTTTCCCTCTTCCTTATTTGGGATTGCCTTTGGGGGTTTCCTCTAGGAGGGTGGGGAGTTGGGCATGAGAAGAGGTTGGCAGGATGGAAGAAGCAATATTGTTGAAAGGGGGGAAGATCACTCTTACTAAAAGTACTCTCTCGTACTTTCTATTTCAAATCCCATGCACTGAAAGGATTGAAAAAATTCAAAGAGACTTTCTATGGGGTGGAAAAGGGGAGGAGTTCGAGTATCATCTTGTTAACTGGGAGCAAGTTTGCAAACCCTTGAAGTTAGGCAGTTTAGGCATCCGAAAGTTGGTTATTTTTAATAGAGCTTTATTGGGAAAGTGGTTATAGAGATTTGGTAGGGAAAGACATCGTCAGTGGAGAAGGATTGTCTCGTGTCGTTTTGGGGAGGAGCGTGGTGGCTGTTCCTCCCGTCCAGTCACTGTTGTTGGAGGCATCGGCTGTGGAAATTTATTCGGAAGGGTTGGGATGTCTCCTCATACATCAGATTCAAGGTTCGTGATGGTAGGCGTGTCTGCTTTTGGGAGGATTTATGGTGTGGGGATCAACTGTTTTCTTATTCCTTTCCTAGACTTTATAGTGTTGTCAAAAATAGGCACGCATGTGTAATGGACTGTTATAGGCTTGATAGTAGCGGGGTTACGCGGGATGTGCATTTTAGGCGTTCTTTTCAAGATTGGGAGATGGACGAGGTATGTGTTTTTTTGGATTTGTTGTAGCAGAAGGATGTTGGCAGAGGTAGTGATGACATTTTGTGGGTCCCTTCCACTCATGGTAGATTTGGTGTTTGGTCCATGTTATTTTGTTTGTCTAATTTTGATAGTCATGATTTCCCATGGAAGACTATATGGCGTTCTAAGGCTCCACTTAGAGTTGCATTCTTTGTTTGGACCGTCGTATGGGGCAAGATTTTGACGTTGGACAATCTGAGAAAGAGAGGTAACACTATTGTTAATTGGTGTTGTCTATGTAAAATAGACGGTGAGTCTGTAGATCACATTCTTATGCACTGTCATGTGGTGTATGATTGGTGGAACCTCATCTTCGGCATTTTTGACGTACATTGGGTAATGCCTCAGTCCTCCATAAGACTGATTAACGCATAGAGATATTGGAAGATAGTTCCACACTGTGTTTGGTGGTGCATATGAAGAGAGGAATAACAAAAATTTTAAAGGAAAGGAATCGTCTTTGGCGACCTTGAAAATTCATATTCTTCGTTCTATTTTTTGTTATGTGAAAGGAAGCGCTTGCTCTTCGATTGATGACTTAGTTGATCTTTTGGACTCTATTGATCCTTAGGTTCAACTTTTGTTTTTTGTATTAGGGACGTGTTCCCCTTTTGAACGCTCTTCTAATCGACTTTTACTTATCAAAAAAAAAAAAAAAAGTAAACAATATGCTTTGGGGGTCTTGTTGATTGCGTAGAGTGGGAGAGACACAGATTTGAGCAAGTGAAGAAGATTATATATATATAATACGTGAATGAATAGAAGAAGAAAAGAAAATTAAAGATCCAGCGGTCAATGAAGAAAAAACGGGAAAGGGGATAAGAGAGAGAGTGTGTTCCCCTTAATGTGCTCTACACGGCTCTGGTTCAAAAATCATTTTTGAAGTTTCAAAATTTGGGTGAATTGGGTCTAGCTCTAGCAATAGATGGGTGTACTAACCTTTAAATTTGTGATTTGTTGTCCTTTGTGTTTTATATGAATTAGCTTGTTTAGAATGTTCAATTTGTGATATATATATATATATAAATGTATTGTTTACCCACTAGTATAGTCTAGTATGTTACATGGCCTCGGGTATGGGTGTCGAACACGGGTATGTATCCATGCGTCAAATGTGTCAAATCTCCAAATAAAAGGACACACGGACACTGCTAAATATTCATTTTATTAATTATTTTATTTTATTTTCTTGAGTAAAGTAATGTTTTTATCTAATATAATATTTAATATAAGCATTTAACTCATTTTAAAATAATAATATAATGTAATTGAATGATTGAATATACTTTTTAAGTGCGTGTCCAATCAAAAGTGTCGAACACATATCCTATATTCATGTCTGAGGGATATGTGTCTGACATGGGTATTTCACTACTTTTAAAGAGTTCATGTAACAGAGGTCTAGGAATCTAATGTATGAGAATTTGTGTTCAAGAAAGCATGCTTGAAAATGAATATTTATATGATGATTGACAAATTGTTAAAATGAGATTTCATATTGAAATTGATTGAGAAAGTACGAATGGACTGTTGTTCAAATTGATGAGATTGGTATATTGGTGGTGTGTCACGTGACGTGTGAAGCTAACAGAATTACCGGGTTTATGTGAATGGTGCTGTGGCTTATGCTTTGGAGTTAATGAGTGAGATTTGTTTTGTTTTGAGGTGATTAGTGATGAAAATGTGTTAATTGATATTTTATAGAATTACGTACTCTGCTCATGAACGTGATATGTTATCATTGCTATTGCTTAGCTGCATTAATCACATCTTTATATGCTTGTGACATCTCATGAATCAACAGCTAACATTGTCAATCCATTTTCTACTGGGCATTAGCTCACCCCCAACATTTTGCAGATGAGGGAGATGACATTGGAGCTAATTAGTCTCGGATGAAGTCTGTTTTTTTTGCTTGTATTTTGCCATTCTTCCCCAAATTTAAATACAGGCATATTATTAAAGATGGGTGAATTTTAAAAATTTAAAGGGTAATTTTAAAAATATTAATTTTATGGACAGTTCAAACTGGACAAATACTTTGAGACACCCAACAAGATGATATGGATGGAATTAGTATTTTTCTCCAACCACTTAAAAGTAAAAACTTTTGAAAGAAGTCATGACAATCACTATGAGATTTATCTGTTCTAACAGTGTTTTTTTGGTGCACACTTGGTAACTAAAAGTTGTTCTAAAATTTTCTTTTTTCACTGTCAACATCCAATTCTATGAAGAAAAAATTTCAACAGTAAGTTTCATGGCAATCTCCAACCGCTGGTTATGACAAATCATTTTGTGCAAATACTTAACATGAATGTATATGATTTAATGGAGACTTCTCTTCACCTGATTAATTAAGAAGAGGTTTAGCATTAGTAAATTAACCTAAACATAAAATCATAAGCTCAAGCAAGTTATGGTCAAAGCGTTCGAAAATGGGCAAGATCAGAGACTTTATTAGTAGAAGCACCATCTAGTTGACCTGGAAATTCAATCCACATATACGCATGGTTGCAGTGCAACCATGCAACAATTATTTGTGTTGCATAAATTAAAGGGTGTTTTAATTCCAAGGGGTTGGCTCAAGTGAGTAAATGTATTTCAATAAGTATCAGATTTAAGATTTAACTCCTTTTAATACAAATAATTCTTTAAAGGAGGTGTGTGATTGCGAAGTAGAAAAAAAATATTTATAAGTTGTAAAAGGGAAGGCGATTCAATTTGTTAAGTATATACATATTTATTTATTTATGTAAATTAGATGTAATGTAATTAGCCTATACAACTAATTAATCAGCATCTTATATGTTGTGGTCATAAAGGATCAAGAAGGAATAGTAACTTTCATCGTCATCTATGAAAAACAACCATAATTCTTACAATTGTTGTAATGGGCTTCTTAGACTCTCAGCCCAAGCAAATCACTGGCCAAGTTGGTCCAAAGGGTAACTATTTTGACATTATGTATACCTGCTTTAATTTTGAAAAAAAAAAAAAAAATACGGAAGAAAAGAGAGAAAATGGTTGTTTGGTCTTCAAAAAGCATCCATGAGGAGATTTCTAGCAAATTGTATATTTTTTGTTTAATCAAAATTTTGCTAGCTGTTTTTCTTAAACTCTCAACTGGCATTCACTCCATTTTTTTTTTTGTTTCTTCATAGAGGAGGTATTCCACACCTCATGAGTAAGACTAATCCAGTTCAGGTACGCAATACCCCTACAAATGGCCTCTTATTTTTTTACGACAGACAAATAATCTATTATTTTTTAACGGTAGAGTTTTTATGAACAAGTATACTTAAATTAGTAACATTCCATATGTTGTAACAACTTTGAAAATTTTGGAAAATTTAAAATTGAGATTTAGAGGCCGTGCATGTCTTGTGTGTAAGTTCTAATCGCGACCATGGAAATGGTTTTGCTATAAATTTGCAAAATTTTGATTACATGAGGCCGAAAAATAAGAGAATATGTACATGCTTAAATTTGAGTTTTTTAATGAGTGCTTTGAAATGTTTGTTTGAGTGTTTGAATTTTTCGAACAGAAATTCATTATAGTCGCTAGTGTTACCGTACACGGTTAGTGGACTCACTTTTACTCTTCCAGCATGCAAATGAGACTAAACTATTTATATAGTCATCATATGTTTCAATCAACCGTTAACCTTCGTTATAATAAATGGTCAAGATTTTGTATCTAGAGATCTCCACTCACATACTTAGAAGTTTACAAAACTCTCTATTATTCTAAACTAACCCTACTCATACAATACAAATGTACAAGTCTCTATAACCTAATTCTAGCCATGTCTCTAGCACCTAATACTACTCAAGTATTGTGTCTACGCCCTAATTTACAGCCGATGGTCGATAAGAAATTGACGAGTGTAACGTGTGGAAGATTATTCTGCCAACAATACATGCATGCCAATTGGAAAGGTGGATGGCTGATTTTTTTCTTAATCAATCAAAGGTACAAAATATTAATATCCCGTGAATGCATGACACATGGCAAATTAAGGAGATTAATAAGGAAAGTTCACATGTGGTGCAACTTACCGAGAGGATACCATGTGTTGCAATCCTAAGAACACAGTGTAATTTTTTTATTTTATTATTATTTTTTTAGTATAAATATGTGTCACAATAGATTTACATAAAAAAATTTAGCTCGTGTAAAAATATATTCCCTAATAATAACCGATCAATGTCATGTCTGATCTTCACATAATTTTTATAATTGTCATGTCTGGACTCCACATAATATTTACAAACCTACTTATATTGATTAGTTAACGAAATGAAAAAGATGGAGAAGAAATGAAATATGTTGATGTATCTGTCTAAAAGGTTGTGTAAAATATGTTGATGGAGGATACTACGTGTTGCAATCCTAACAGTTTGGAAGATTAATCTGCCACGTGGCAGAATATCAAGTATGATCAAATTAATCAGAAATTTCCACGTGGTGGCAGAATATCAAGTATGATCACATTAATCAGAAATTTCCACGTGGCAATCCTAAGAAAATGTAGAAGGAATTTGGTTAGAAAGCTTGGTTTCATGGTATAATAATGAGATTATGTAGATGAGGCTGTTGGAGCATCTCTATATTCAAGGGAGAAGTGCAATACAAGGAAATGAACCTAGATATAATTTTGGCAAGGTTCAAAGAGGTAGCGGTATGCTTGGAGTCATGTTGTCTAAAAACATGGGAGAAAAGATTGGTTAGTAGGGCCGACCCAACATTTAAAACCCTTCCCACGAATGATAGGCACATTCTTGTTAGCCCATTCAAAATTGGGAAACCTCTAGACTAGGAATGTGTTTGCTATTTGATGGGCGGGGCCCTATTGTGTTACTGTTTGTTTTGAATTGTTGGTCTCTTTGGTTGTTGGACCTGTCTACTCTTCGTGGGCTGTGTCTATGTTAAGGCTAGGCCTTTGTATATTCTTCTAACCCTTTCGTATATATATACACACCTTAAACCTTCCCCCCAAAAAAATAAAAAAAAATTAAATTAAATTAAATTTTGGGGCCCTTAAAAACTTGGTGATTAAATTCAAAATTGAATATTACTACTTTACGGGTATATTAGTGTATATTTCAGTAATTAACTCTTAAATTAAATACAATCCTTTACTAATTTTATGTGTTAATATATACATAGTCAGTAATTATTTTGAAATTGAATGCAGTCTTTATTATTGGGGTAGATAATATATTTTTGATGAAATTTGAATAAATATAAATTAATTATGTATTACTTATATAATTGATTTGATATAAAGGGGGAATGCTTGAATCTAAGTTTGAAGTTGATAAGAACTCCATTAAGGCAAAATTATATATTTTTTCTAGAAATTTAAAATGGGTTGAAAGTTCTAAACTTGATCAATTTTGATGAAATCTTGAAAATCTTTTTAGAGTTTAAATTAACGTAATATCATTCTAACTCTTTAGCTTATCTATCCCGTGCGGAGTGAACTAAGTATTTGTTAAGAAAATATATATTTTTTACTTTATTACGAGGGATGGCAGATGTAAAATTGGAGAGAAATTAATAGACCGTATTTTATATTTTGTGTTTTCAACATTAATACATTTTATGTTATTATCTTCTCATTTTAATAAAAATTTCGCACTCTTATAAATTTTTTACGCATATGAATGTTTGTGTATAAAAGGACTCACATTTAAGTTTGCCTAGGACCTCTCAAAACTTTGTCAAGAGAGCCGGCTCATTCTATACATAGACAATTATACATGCAGTGGTGCTGCGTATAAGGTATGGGTTTCTAGAAATTGTTTGGCATCATCATATAAGGGTACCCCTTAACATGCTTAATCACCAAAATTAATTAAACTTTTTAAACTAAGGACCTTATTATAGATGACTCTCTTCAAAATAGATATAGTGTGGGTGAATTATTTGCCAAAACTAATATATATATATATATAAGGAACTATTCTAACAAGGCAACTTATTTGTAGTAGGTGTATTAGTGGTCACAACTTATTTTCTGATAGTGCTTTGGGACACAATGGCGGGTTGTATTATATAGGAACGCTGCGAAATAGACTCTATGAGTAATTAAGGAAAGAAGTTCATAAAAAGAATAAAATAAAAAAATAAAATAAAAAAATAAAGAAAAAGAAAAAGAAAACAAAAGAAAGAAGAACAAAGAAATAGATTGGTGTAATGATGAAATACAACTAGCAATTAAAATAAATAATAATAATAATAAAACGAGTTTTATAGAATGACAAGATGTAAATTTAGAGAAATACAAATATATATAGATATGAAATTAAAAAGACGGTAGCCAAAGCTAAACAAATTCATAAACCTTTGTTTATAAATAATAAGCATTTGTTTAAATAAATAATAAGGATGTTTAATTATTATGAATGGTTAAATTCATAATAAGGATGTTTGAATGGTGTGATGGTGTTGTCAGAATGGTTTGGGTTTTTAAAGTCCTCACTCTATAAACAATATACTATCCATTTGCAAAAAAAAATATATATATATATATATATATATATATACAAAATTTTAGAAATTTTAGAAAAACTAAACTAATGATTACTACAATGAAATTATGGGAAACAATAATAGAGCAAAGAGTAAGTAAGAAAAGAAATATCAATACCTAATTATTAATTCGAATTTATGCCAATCAATTTACTATAGAAGTCGTATATTTAACAAGGCTACATATAAGATAATATAGGAGTAAACAACGAGACCTACATATCATAGAAGGTCAGCAGAAACCCTAGAAGATACAAGTCATGAAATGATAAGAGTATTGTTTGGGATTAACTTGGAACAAATAATTATTTTCTCATGAACCAATGACATTATGGGAATTACAAAAGGTAAATTAAAACTAGAATTGACTTTCCGTAATTTCTCAGGAAGAGCATACTTAAGAATTCAAAAGTATTAGGAAGAAAATGATTTCTCTCTCATGAGATTTAGCATTTTATACACAAATTTATGACACAAGTTTTTCATTAAACTTCAACAAAAATGGGCTTACAACAAGACACCGATATATAGAAAAGAGAGCAATCTAAATTCTTATTAGAATAAAGTACAAGAAACACCCCTATATAGAAAATGTGTCAAGAAACATTCTTACTATAGTGTTATTTATTATGTGCAAATAAATTAGTGTATTTTTAAATTTTGGAGCAAATTGCCAATAGTCAATTGACCAAATTTTTTATAAAAATTCCAAAATACACTTAAGGGAAATTTATGTATTTTTTTTTAAAAAAATAAATAATAAATGAGGACCATATATACTTTCACAAGATGAAGAAGTCAATGTAAGCACTTCTCAAATTTAGGCTTTAACTCAAAAGAATTACAAGGTAAACTTTTCGATAAAATTCATACAAGTCAACAAAAATAAAAAAAAAAAAAAAATTTATAAAAGAAAAAATTTTCTATTCATATTCCATGCCGTTAAGCACGAATTTTTACATCATCCTGAGTATGACAATTCACAATTTTCACAATATCTTTCAACCTTTACGTGGAACTCTAAAAATGTTAGCCCATTTGTTGCTAGTCTGCTCCAACAAAAACAAATCTCTCCTTTCCATTTATTATCTTTTCAAATTTACTCCTATATGTTTAATATATATAGAGAGAAAATAATTTAGAAAGTATACACAAAATTTTTTATATTATATAGGACAAGTATAAATAATTTTCAGGAAAAAAAAAAAAAACAAAAAAGCTTGTTCATTTGGTGTTTACTTTTGAACAAAAATAGTTGTTTGTGTGAGTTGGTTTGTTTTTAAGGGATAAGAAGGGGCTCCCAACTCCAGTTGATTCTCTTCCTCTTTACCTTTCAACATTCATTTATTTTGTAATTGTGGGTTTTAAAATTTGTAGGTAGGGTTTTGTGTGTGTTATTTTTTTCCCAGCAAAAAGCCGAGTTCTTTGTGGTGTCTTATCTTTTTTTTTTTTTTTTAAAACAATTAGACATACATTTTACCTCTACCGAGATTCAAATTCTCGACCTCCCCTCTAAGGAGAAAGGAGTAATACCAGTAATACTGCTGGGCCATTTGGGACTTTGGTTGTGGTGTCTTATCTTGGTCGGGTGTGATTGATTACATTGGTGTTTTATGTGTGTTTCATAATGTTTTGGGGTTAAATAATTTTTTTCTTTTTTTCTTTTTTTCTTTTTTTTTTTTTTTTTTAAGGCTTAAAACTCACTGTTATACAACATTCATGCGATGAATTGATGAGACAACTGTTATTGTGGTGAGGATTTTATTTTCTCAACTCCGAAACTACAATGGAAAATTAATTGGAATAGTTCCAATTTCAAGAGAATATCCCTTCTTTGCATATTGACGTTTTACAAGTTTCATTGCTGTGAATTTGCATCTGCTCTATTAATGTACATCACTTTCATGTCAAAGTCAACAGAATTGAGTTCATGCATGTTTATTGATTTTATTGGTTCATCTCACACACACTCTAATGGAGTTTGTAAGCCAAACTCACCAGAAATTTAGAGTTTGGATTGAGAAGCCATTTCGCAATTAGATACCAAAGTAAAGAAGAAGTAAAAAACTCTCTGAATGTTGTGGATCACAATGGCAAAGAATCTGTTAGAAGACTTCTGAGTAACCACAGCTCTGCAATCCCCTTCCACCACCACATTTTTGTATCCCCGTCTTCCCATCAGCTTCACATCCTCTCTAGGCTTTGACAACTTCAGCAATATGAACAAGAAGAAAGAAACCACTCAGAGAGGGCATCATCTATCCATTACTTAAAATGATACCTCCTCCCTGATTCTTGGAACCACAACAGCGTCCGTGTTAGTATAAAATATCATAAACCTAAAGAATTGCCAGAAAATGGAAGAGGGGCATACAGACACACTTAAAGATCATGTCAGAGTTATACCCACCAACAAAAACTCAGACAATTTACCCTTGGTCGAGGTACTATATTTACAGTACCTTAGGTACCCAATACATACTTATCCAGAAGCCCCATCTGTCTCCATTCCTGTTCTTTATGTATGTACAAACTATAAAGGATGGAAGAGAGCTAAAGTAGCTCCAACGAAATTTTACCCTGCAGAACTTGAACAACTTAATAGTATGTGATCACAGGCTAGTCATTAATTTTATCTTCTTCTTTTTCCCCTCTGATCATAGGCTTTTCGTAGCTGAGATGTATAATGACTCTGATCACTGGCTAGTCATTAATTTTACCTTCTTCTTTTTCCCCTCTGATCACAGGCTAGTCATTAATTTTACCTCCTCCTTTTTCCCCTCTGATCACAGGCTTTTCGTAGCTGAGATATATAATGACTGTGATCACAGGCTAGTCATTAATTTTACCTTCTTTTTCGCCTCTGATCACAGGCTTTTCGTAGCTGAGATATATAATGACTCTGATCACAGGCTAGTCATTAATTTTACCTTCTTTTTCCCCTCTGATCACAGGCCTTTCGTAACTGAGATATATAATGACTATTAAGTTGTTCAAGTTCTGCAGGGTAAAATTTAGTTGGAGCTACTTTAGCTCCCTTTCATCCTTTATAGTTTGTACACAAATACGATGATGAACAGGAATGGAAAGAGATGGGGCTTCACGTTCCCTCGTGACTATTTACAAAAACACAATCTCCCATCTCCAGGGTGTATGGTCTTACAAAAAACATAACAACCAATTTTCATTGTCTTTTCAATCTAACGATCTCTAAACTTTTCATTTTGATCGGATCTTAAACTCCCTTGCCTTCCTTCCAAGCTAACCATTCACTGTAGATCCTGCAAAAAAGATTAAATAAATAAATAATAGTAATGACAATAATAATAATTGTTTACAAATTCAATGATCACCTACTTGTGCGGGCAAACACGAAGATGATCCTCCATATTAGCAGGAGTTTCAACCCATTACCACAATGTTTACAAAAATTTTTGGGATAATGGGTGAGGCAGCGGAATGATTTATCGTCCCCTTTCATGAGCTCATAGTGGTCTTCGACTTGTTTTCATGAGCTCTGAATGTTGATACATCTATCAGGAGGTTTAGTGGGCAGGAATGGCAATGACCCATCATCGCCAATATGGGTCCTAAAACACAACAGTAAATAACATGTAAGAATATACCTTTTTCAATTCTGATAGCATCATTAAGCAGTGCATAGGCTGCTTCAAACATTTTTTCAAATACCTCAGTAGGATTCGAACCCAGATGAAGTTTTGACAATCTGTCACAGAAAAAAGAACAAATGGATCTTGTAGGATTCCCAAGAAATTCTTCAATTTCTTCCGGAAGCCCACGCCATGAAATTAAGAACATAAATCCAGTAGCCCAAACAAGATGCCCAAATAAGAACATCCACGCCCAGACCGATAAACTATTCATACCAAAGGGGTTATATAGGTAAAATTGTAACATGTTTCTTCTTAATTTTTCACAGAAAGAACTAAAGATACACACATTAACATATCACATTATGAGTGATTTTGGTTGAGTCTAAACATTGCTAGTGACTGACAATTCAAAATACATTATTACTGATTTATATTGCTTGAAGTAATAAGGGTAGTTTTAAGTCATACCCATAGCTCCTGCAAATCCATGGTGCCAAATTAAGAGCCTCAAGTGAACCAGGTAAGGGTTTTGGCCCCATAAAGGTGCCGAGTCGTGAGGGGGCAACAGCCATAGCAACCCTCTAAATAGAGCCAAGAACACAAGATTTTGTAAGATAGATTTCAATCAGAATTTCAGGGCAGAAGATGCATGTTATGAACAACATACACACCTTGAACGATTCAATTTTGTTGGTAAATTGGCTTCCACACTCGGTCTCAAGGGAGGATCCAGGATTTCTCAATGGGGTGGGCTAAAGCAAAATATATCCAAGTATAAAGTTACAAACACACACACACACACACATATATATATATGTAAGATATACGTACTATCAAATTATATTAGTAAAATTATAAATATATAATATTAATTACTGTCTCTGTTTGTAACTTTGAGTGCATCAGAGCTTTCCATTTCATTGTTATACACTTCTTAAATCCGATGCATGAAACAAGCCAAAAGCTCACAACCCTATCGTTGGTTCACAGTTGTCGTACACTTTTGTGCCCCCAACCATATATCTTTCTCTCTACAAGTCCATATCTATAGAAGTCTCCCATGCCAATATTAGTCAAGACACTAAACATCCGTGGGTTTTCAGAATTTTTTTTCCGATTAACATGTATACATACGTCAATGTCTCTATTTTTTAGGACTAATGATACTACTTGAGATCCATACACATTTACAAAATGAATACTCAAATTGCGGAAACATCTCTCACATAACATAAACACCAAGAACCAAATAAATTGTACATATACGTAGATATAAAAAAATACATATAAACTGAATTGAGTAAAGTGAAATGAACAATAAAAGGTAGTTGCAAGGTCTTAACCTGAGCTATAGTAATAGTGATTGGAAATTTCAGAAGAAACAGGAATCAAAAATCAAGAATGTAACACAAGTGTTGTAATGTGGAAATAGCAGTTATGGGAGAATAAGTTGTCATCTAAGGTGAAACCAACCTTATGATTCTATAGTGCATTAGCAATTAGTTAACAACCGAGAAGACCAGTATCCCACAATTTGTGATCAGATCCATAGAATTCAATTAGAATCCCATAACAGAAGATGTATGTTATGAAATAGGATAAAAAAACAAAGATGCATTATATAAATAGAATACACACCTTTAACTTTCCTTCACTCCTTCCCAATGGTAGCCTTTTTGCAGGACCCTTCTTATACAATGTTTCAATTACATCCTTGCCCTAAATCAACAGGAGATAAAATAACAAAATTCTCTCATTATATTACAAAAACAAATAACAGCGCATAAATTACTGGCAAACCAAATTCAACAGAGCAGAAATACAACTTATAAATAGAACAATGTTGTTGGAAAAAGGTCTATTGAAGGGATGTTGGGTTGTAGCTGTAAGCACAGCTGTCTACATAACAAATAGGATGCTGCTCAGATCAAAATAAACTAAAACACATTTTGAACACTCTGCTCAATAGTATGTCTGCAACTCTAAATTTCCTTCAATTCTAGGTGCTTTGACTTAATTTGAGTGCATCAACATATTATCAACGTCATCAGTCATCATCACAAGAGTCAACGTTGACATCAACATCCTCATAACTTTAACATTAACATCCTCATCTAGAATTGTGTAATCCTCTTGCATAGATATACATTTGATTAAAATAAACTGAAAAAAGACTTCCTATCATAATTAGTCATTTTAAAACCAACATCGCAGCTACAACGGTAAGGGGATTTATATAATTCAATTAGCTCGGCAAAAAAAACATACCTTTTTTTCTTTTTGCCTACACCACCCATTCCCATCAACTCTCTTCTTTCAGAAAAGAGACCTATATTATTAGAACAAAAGAGGAAAAGTTTTAAAAACGTTAATAAACTTGTAAAACATATATTCTGAAATTGAAAACTAAACTTCCAAGTCTTTAATTCCCGTTAATAAATTGTTCGAGCATCACATCATAACAATATTATATATATATATGTAGAAACAAAAACAAAAACAAAAAAATAGTATGTAAAACATGAATAAATAAACATAACCAATAGCTCAAAATGTCAATTAAAATTTTAGAAGAAGTATTGAGTTTGTTACCTGATGACTGAGGAGACATGTTTCTTGAACCTTGTTCTTGTTAAATGTTAAGGCCCAATGCTAACCCTAAAAATAAGAAAACACTCAAGTTGTGAGGAAGAGGTTTCACAATCTCACTCATAACAATTAAAACACCACCATCTAAGTACTATCTATATCATGTATCAACCCAACCCAACTATGCTTTCAGTCAAAATGTTGGACACCTATCCGTAGAAAGAGGTGTGATTGCGGATAGGTGTGATTAACACATATTATACCCAGCTCTTATGTTAAATTAATCCAATAACAAAGTACAATGCATCAGTTTAGCAATAATCTTCAAAATTAACAAATCAACATACTGATATTCTGCATTCTAATAACAAAAGAAAATCAAAAACCAAAATTTAAAAATAAAAATATGGCAGAAAGAATGAATATATCCTTCGTGCATTACACAAATTGTATTTCTATGTGAAACGAAACATCCGGGATTTCTCAATGGGGTGGGCTAAATCAAAATATATCAACCAAAATTAACTATTGTCTAATTCAATTTTAGTTAACTAACAATGTTTCTTTAGACAATTGACTGATTAAGAAATAGAAAATCCTATTTGGGTAATTAATAAAAAAATTTACTAATTTATTTCTGAACAATTAACCACTCAGTACCCTATCTCTTCTTTTAACCAATTTACTAATCCTATTTGAGAATCTACTAGGGGAAGCAGAGTGTGAGGTAGTTCATGGCAAGCCCCTTCCAACACTATGGAATTAACTCAAAAGCATGCTTTTTGTAAGTATTTTAATTTTCAAGAAGTAACTTTAGAGCTTTACCCTATATTAAGTACTTTTGCTTGTCAAAGTTCTTGTTATGATTTTTTTTAGTTCTGAAAAGATTTCCATCTTCAAAAAAGCTTGGCATGTTGATAAAAATTGTTTCAGATTCAATCTCTGCAGATTTCTAATCCAATTCAATCCAATTCAGATTCTTTTTTATTTTTTATTTTTTTATTTTTTCATGCCCAGATTCAAATTTTCTTGTAGACATAATTGACAACAAAAAAAATAAAAAATAAAAAATAAAAACAGAAATAGAAGTTATAGAGAAAAAAAAAAATAATAATAATAAATAAATAAATTGTTTTGCTGAAATAAAATATAGATTACGGTGATTACCTCAAAATTCAATGCAATGATTACCTCAAAATGCAATGCAAATTTTGTTACTTTATATTGTAATATATATATATATATATATATATATATATATATATATATATATATATATAAGATCATAAAAAATTTCAACAAATAGGATTTAGTTTGCAAAACAAGAATTACAGACCTTGATTAGTTGATTTAGAAAAGAAAAAAATTAAAACATAACCCATACATACAATTTAGCAGATGCAGAGAGAGAGGGGGGCAAGCTTGAGAGTTGAGAGACAGCGGGCCAGCGGCTGAAGCTTGCGAACGGCGAACCCGAACTGGAACAGCGGGCGATGGAAACTGAAAGATATGGGTTTTGATTTTTTGAACAATCTGAAATGATATGCCGATATGGGTTTTGAACTTTTGATTCTTGCAGACAGATAGATAAACTGAAATATATGGGTTTTGAACTTCTGTTTCTTGTAGATTTTGTAGTTTGCAGTTGCAGAGAGAGAGAGAGAGAGAGAGAGAGAGGGCAAGTTCAGAGTCGAGAACGAGAATAGAGATTGAGGCGATTGGGGATGCAGAAATGATTTGCCCTAAAAGTATTTGTTGCCATCATCCATGCGCCTAACATTTTGAGGCCCCATAAATTTTGAGACCCTAGGCAACTGCCTTCTGTCGCCTTGGGTCAGGCCAGCCCTCAGCTTATTTGGTTTGGGCTTTTATTTTTACTGGGTGGGCTAAGTCTATTAATATATATATATATATATACGGTGGACTAAAATTAGTATAACAAAAAAAATATATTTTTCTTCGAGTGGGTTCAAGCCTACCATAACCCACCTCACATCCGCCTTTGCTTGGTCTTCAACAGTAACCTTTTTGCAAGATCCTTCTCATAGAATGCTTCAAATGCATCCTCGCCCTAAGTCAATGGGAGATAAAATGAAAAATGAGTGGCGAACCAAATTGAACAGGAGCAGAAATAGGAATTTTAATATAGCAAAAAGAATTATGTAAGAGTCAATTTTATTATTACGTTACAAACGTCCACATTGCCCGTATAAACCTGAATAAAACCAAAACTTCATCAAGTGTACACATCAGTTCTTCTTCACTCTTATTTCCAGTACAAAGTTTCTCATCCAGAAACTTTGCAATTAGTTCAATAGGTTGAAGCTATTACAAAGTATAATGATATACTATTTAGGAATATTATTGAAAACTAGAAACAAATGGCAGATTAATTTACCAATAAGTGATACAATCAGAAAGTTTACTGCCACCCATGCTGGATATACACTCCAATTAAAATAATAGTACTAGCAACAATTCAAATATTATAAATTATCTATAAAAAAATAAATCGCTTGTGATTGTATAAACATAAGATCAATGTGCACTAATAAAAATTAAGCAAAATATAGTGCTATAGCTTTTATAGCACGTCATCTTATAGTTTGTTAGTATATAGATAATAGAACCCAAAAACTCCTATTGTGGAAGCATATGAGCATATGTATGTGCATGACACAAATGCTCATAAATAAATAAACAAACAAAAAACAAAATCTACTTCCTACTTAGGGTGATGGCTCCTGGTTTTTTCGTATTTTTGCTTCTTTTGTTTTCTTCACTGGTTCACTCCTTGCTACCACCTTACAATGACTTTTTTAAAATTTCTCTTATGACAATTTTATTTCTTCTAAGAAAAGAATGCATTTATATAACAGAAAATTCATCACATAATACTTTTGTTGTAAAACATGTCAAACTATTAGTAAATGGACGATGGAGATAGAGATTATCAATTTCATGTCCTGTAATATTACTCATTTTACTATTTTCCATTTTTCTGGAATTTTTTTTATTTTTTAGAATTTATTTATTTATTTCCTCATTTTGCATGCCGGGTACCATGGGGTATGCCGAGTGAGTTCTGAGAGTTGATTGGGGTATTTTTTTTTTAGTTCGAGACTTTTAGAAATGCATTGTTAGTCATTTCGACATTTTTTAGTTTTTCTGCCAAGAGGTCCCGGGCGACCCGTAACCGAATTTGTTGTGTACGGGGAATTATTTTTCGGGGCTGTTGCATTTCATATATAATCATTTGATGCATATTTATGTGACTGTGTGTTTGGTGTGTGTATATGTATATAGAAGACAAAAAAGATTTTTTGAGACATATTGACCCTACAGAAGTATGACATTGACTTAAAGAGGGCAAAATGTTCTTTTCTTCTTCATTTCTTCTCTTCTCTTCAGTCGCAGCCTTCTTACCCTCCTCTATGCATTTTTCTTTTCTTTTTTCTTTCAAGTTTTAAGGCTTGATTTTCCTATCTTCCATTTAGTTTTGGACTTTGTCACTGAAGCCAAAGTTTAAGAGCACGACGAGAGCTACATTTTGATCGGAACCGATTTTCAATTGAGCCACTTTGGTGATTTCGAAATTTGGACAGAAATTGGGGCTTTTCTTCAATTTTAAAGGTAGGAGTTTCTAAGCCACTCAGTCTTTGATTTTGGTGAATTAATCTTGTTGAATTTTATTCTAACATGTTTAATTGTGATAGTTGTTTATGGTTAGTAAAGTTTAGAAATATATGATTATGGTTAAAGTATGATTGTAGTGTAATCTTGTAAAGATATGTTAATTGCATGCTTAATTGAAATTTTGTGAAGATGTGCACTTGAGTTTTTCTATATCATGCTTAGTTGTCAAATGTTATAATGAATGTGATTGTTGCTTGAGAATTTGTCGATCTAAATGTTTTTTTTTAAGAAAAAAAAAACATGCAAGCATGATGTGGATATGATGTATGTAATTTTAATAGTTTGATGGCATCGAAAGGCATGAAGCATTCAGGAATGGCATTGGGCAAAAAAAAGGAAATTTGATTTGAAAAGAAAGAAAACTTATTTTGGGGAAAAGATTTGAATTATTTGCGAAAATCCGGGCCCTTAGGAGTTGCCTTAATGTGATCTAGAAGGAATTAGGGAGGGACCCTAGCGTGGTTGAGCTACCTAGGCCCCAAATGACACATTAGAGTTCCATGTCGTCTGGGATAGCTAGTCAGTCCTTATCTCGTGGCGCCATGGAGCTGCCATGAGCCGGGTTACATTAGAGATTTGGAATGGAAAAATGAAAAATTTTTGGAAATGGGGAGCGACATTGGCATATATCATTGCATTCCATTGGCATCGCATGGCTTATCCATGATTTAGATGATTTTGTGGTTATGTTGTCTCCCAAAACTGCACAATCCCGTATTCCCTTATTTTATGTTATGTTTGGATTCACGTGGTCATTAAGAGGTGTGTCTTAGACACCTACTAATAAGCCGTTGTGCTCACCCCTTCATTACTATTTTCAGGACACGAAAAAAAAATGGCGGACAACACTTCTTCACAAGCTTAGGTGGATTAGCAAACTATTTTGACATCTTTTGTAATTGAACTTCCATTTTTTTTATTTTTATAAAACATTAACATGAGTTTTATAAACTTGTAACTTGTGCCCTAGTAATTGTAACTATGATCATTTGTAGTATTTTGATGTAACTTAGACTATTTTGTAAATGGCCATTGAATCATGTAAAGAACCATGTTGATATAATTTGGATGAATGAGACTATTTTAGTATGAATGTTAATGATAATGATTACGGAACGTTATAGCATGTTGCAGTGACTTGGGATAAGTTTGAACCATTTGTAATGCCCCAAGCGAAGCCGTTACCCTTTTTATGCTTATAGTAATTCTGCAGGTGGAAAACCCCTTCCTAGGGTCATTTCGGACCATCGAATTAGCATTTTGGACGACCGGTTACTTCTTGGTCAGATTCCAGTAGCCAACCTCGCGAAGAAGCCACAACCGACAGACCGGTTGGGCCATTTCGGACGACAGAAATAGCCATTTCGGACGATCGGTTCTTGGCTTTCCTTATTTTTTATTTTTTCTTTCCCTATGGCTAATCTTAAGCCATTTGGTGTTGTTATAGGTTACTATGAACCTTAGTATGATGTGTTAATAATGCTTTGACATTGAAAATGACGGTAATGCCCTTAGAGGACCTCAGGTTCGGGTAAGGACCCGGTTAGCGATTCGGACCCATCGAGTTCGAGTCGTTACATGTCCCACAGTCCATATGTAGTGAGATTATAAAATTAAACTAGTGGGAGCCAGCAAAGATAATCATAACCACTATAAAGTCGTTTTCTTTATTTTTCTTTTTTCTTTTTCTTTTTTTGCATTTTTCTATTGGTTAGGCTCTATTTAGATCATTGCAAATGACGGTAATGCCTTTATAGGACCTCGGGTTCGGGTAAGGACCCAGTTAGCGATTCGGACCCATCGGGTTCGAGTCGTTACATGTCCCACAGTCCATATGTAATGAGATTATAAAATTGCACTAATGGGAGCCAGCAAAAGATAATCGTAACCACTATAAAGTCGTTTTCTTTATTTTTCTTTTTTCTTTTTTCGCATTTTTCTATTGGTTGGGCTCTGTTTGGATCACTGCTTGGTGAGTTATCTTTGTCGAAAATCAAAGAGAGCTCATTGAATCTAATTTTAGACAAAGAGAGAGAAAGAAAACAATTGAAAATAGCAAGCAAACATTCAAAATTAGCTTTTTGTTTTCAGAAGCTCTGTTTGGGTAAAACTAACAAAACATAATTATGTAAGCTAACTCTCTACAACAAAGATCTGTGTAATGTTAAGCATGTTCTAACTCAGCCAAGATAAAAATGTATTGTTGTAGTTAACACACAATTATGTATTATACAAAAAACGTTTGCTTTGTCAAAAGGCCCTATACAAAAATGTTAAAAGAAGCACCGTATCAGTCCATATTTCATAAACCATGTAATCTGTGTTTTACCAACTACCAGACTATCAGCTGTCTATAAAAGTTTTCATATTTTTAATCCTATAAAATATCTCATCATCCTTTCATTATCTTCTTTGATATGAAACGACAGTTACAAATGTTACAAAATAAAGTTTTTTGAAAAAAGGGTTCTTTTCATTTGGTTAGCCCAAGTGGCAGGCAAATGAAACAATACAAAGGTAAAACTAATGAACAGATCATGCACGCGTGCCCAAATAACACCAACCTGGAGAAGAGAGACATCCAGATCATTTTTAACTCTCAAGAATTCTGCTTCCAGCAGAGAGCGACCTAATGAACTTTTCCTCGATTATAATTCATTGAGAATGTCCTGCAGCACCAAGCCAAACAATCAACGTCAAGTCATCATATGGTTTCAAGAGTACAATGCAATTTTCTTCAAACTTATGCCAACCCTGATACAAAGTACATTTGTGGGGAAGCTGAACATCCGTAAGTTTTCATATTCTTTTTTTTTTTCCAATTAATTTGCTGCTTTACTCATATATGTATACATACTTCAATGTCTCTATTTTTTAGGACTAATGATACTACTTGAGATCCATACACATTTACAAAATGAATACTTAGATTGCATAAACATCTCTTACATAACATAAACACAAATAACCAAATAAATTGTACATATACGTTGATATAAAAAAACATATAATCTGAATTGAGCAAAGTGAAATGAACAATAAAAGGTAGCTGCAAG